CTTCTGAGTCCAGAATTTCCAATTTTGTCCTTATTTGCTCAAAAAGTCCATTTTAACCTGAAACACGAAATGTAAAGAATTAAGCAACAATTCAGGTCAAAATGAACTAGAAAGTACCTGAAATCCGACTAAAAAGTCTAATGAAAACAATATAATCCACGGATTATCACCTGTGTTACCGTTAAATTATTATGCGTATGGAATTTTCAATTTAGAATACTGTGTTCGTGGTTTTAAACGTAAAAGAAGTTCTTATTAACAAACACATGTATAGTACTAGAATAGTGAGATTTTGTAATTTGTTTTGGTTCATTGAATGGAAATTATTTTAATTTTAAGGCTTCGTAAAATTTTTAATCATTTTTCTATTGACAACCACATGTTTAGATATAAATAGCTTGGTGCATTTGTTTACTTATTGTGAGTAATATTTTTGAAATATTATTGTAAAGTTGAGTAGGATTATTATTTTGAGAATATGGTTTGAAAAAAAAAAGTGTTTGGTAGAGTATTTAACTGAGTTATTATTACGAAAATATGATTTGATGTTTGATAAAGTATTTAGGATAATATATAAAGTTGAATAAATTGTAGAAAAAATATTTGGTATATTTTTTTATAAAGGATTTATTGATAGAATTCTTTGTTGCTTTTTGTTAAATTAATTTTTATTATTATATAGTAAAAACTTATCAATTAACGTTTTAATATTATTAAATATTTAATTGGTAATTTCGTAATCACTAACTTCAAGACAAATTTGGAACTATTAATTTCAAGTACTAATACATCATTTAAAACCACCACATTAATACATCTCTGACAAAGCCACTGATTGTCAACCCTTAGAATCATTTATACAATTATACTCCATTAACAACTACGACATTGGTCATATGTTGTTCCCATATTTCAATCGTTATGTTATCCCGCACATTCGCTATGTCGTCAATAATACGTTGCTGTGGTTGACTCGATCCCTCCCCATTTCCTTCATTAGCTGCCCTGTTTTGGTCATGCAAATATTCTTCCGCAGTATACTGTTCAAAGATTTCTTCCTACATATTGTACCTTCTAATAAAATTATGAAGTACACAACATGCCAAACAATCCAAGCTTGTTTCTCCAACGGGTAATTATTCATTCCATCAAGAATCCAGAATCTTTTCTTTAGAACACCAAAGGTTCTCTCAACAACATTGCGGAGTGATGCATGCCTGTAGTTAAACAACGCCTGAGGATCATTTTGGTTACGACGACGATCATGTAGATGGTAAGGAACTCGTTTATAAAGGGCAAGGAACCCCCCTCTATTTGCATAACCCACATCAACGAAATAGTATTTACCTGTAATTAACTGAAACATGTCATTTGATATTTTAATCCAAAAAAACGGAGCAAATATTCTATAATACGTAAAGAAGCTAGTTGTACCTTGTGGGGATGTGTGAATCCATAATTAGGATCATCAAGAACCGAATTTAAAACCTTTGAGTCGTGGGCGGATCCTTCACAACCAATGACGACATAAGTGAACATCATCTTGAAGTCACATACAACCATGACATTCTGTGACAATGTTCTTTTATAATTCCGGAAGACATCGGCCAACTCAGTTAAAACTCAAGCATCGACATGTGTGCCATTAATCGCCCCTATACAGTCCTGTGGACAAAAGATAACATTCAATAATATCAACCGACTGTCAACATAAATAACACAACGAACTGAAGCACGTACAAATAATAATAATATAATAAAAGTACCTTAAAGAATGGGTAATATTTTGGGTTTGTCGATATTTCCACTGGAACTTCACTGAAGTCCAGTGCCTTGATAAACTTTGTCTGCAACCCATATATTGCATTGCAAACTTTGCCCACATATATAGAGATTGTCTCGCTCGAATGTTGGAAATCATCCATAATAGTACTGTATGTCTCGTTTTTTCCAATGGTTGTCAAAAATATCATAACCTGTTCTTCAATACTCATATTGTTAAAGTGTCGCAAGCTCCCTTATTGTGCCAAAATGTAACATAAGTATTTAAAACATTGTTTGTCCATGCGACACTTCGCAATATTCTGTCAGGATGGCCATTAAGTACTTCCAACATTTTATTGTGACCAGTTAATGCGGATGTATGTCGTAATCGTCATCCATGTGTTCCGAAGTCTGTTTCTAACGCGACAACTGCACACATTGCAACCACAACATCTACCATAATTTCCCTTTCTTCATCAACATCATTTCCATTACGAGCTGTACACCTAGATGACGCCATCTAAATCTATACATTTGTAAAACATTGATCATCAATTCATATTGTTGTGGTACTTAAGAAAATATAACATTCAATATTTAATTGTACTTCCAATCGCCAACTTATATGAAACATGCTCTAACATTAAAACAATAGTACATTGTATAAGTACATACAATAGCAAACATAATTATGATGAAACTAAATCAAGATGCTATAAAAAAAAACAACCATATAAGGGATAAGTGCCCACTGGTTAGTACAAAATTGTGGGACTACACGTATGACATCCTAATCAATTCAAAAACCTAGTATAAACCCAATTTAACCTATGCTGAACTGGCATTTAATGCCTCCCTAAACCCTAGATTTTCATACAAGTAATCAACAACTTTAATGTAAACATCTGTATGAACTTTCATAGACGTCAAAATGTCCAAACAGGTGGACATGGAAAATGGATCAGATTAACGACTGGTGTTCTCTCCGACCCCTTCATCTTCACTACGATTTCCAGCCCCGAATCCTCTACTCCTTTCGACAAGTACGTCTATCAGTCTGCCAATCACATCCACAAGTTCTTCTCTCTAGTCGAATGTCTTCTTCCTCCTCCTAGGTCTTCCATGACTAGAGATGTTTGATCGCTTTTCTCGTGTTGTTTGATCCAGATCAGGTTCAAACTCACTATCGTCATTCTCAATCGCTCCATGTTCAGATGAATTGTTGTTCGAATCCACTGGCTCGAACATTGATGTGTACGTGAATCTTCCAGTGGTGCTTTGCTTTTAAAAAATGTCCTCATATAACTCCTTATATGGAAGTCCCTTAGAAAGAATTGCGCTGCCTATTTGTTATGCTGGTAACAAAAACAGACATACATTAATATGTGTTTGTCAAGGAAAAAGTCGTAAAACATACGATGTCGTAGATTAATATGAATTAAAAATATGAAAAGTTACCTTGACATATTCTCTCCAAACCTCTACGGAACATGTTGGCATTTGGTTCTGATGATCCCAACAGAAACCCTGTGTTGCATAAGTTTGCGCCAAGCATTATAAGTATTTTTTCAACCAGAAGAACTTAGAAACTAACTGTCCTACGTCGAGTTTCTTCCCAGCCAATGGTTCCAAATCAACCAACATATTCTGGTAATCCGTCGTTTTAATTGCAATACCATGGGCATTTTTCACACGCTCAGACAACAAAATCAGAAATTGGTGGGTCATTTCATCGGACCAGCTCACGTTATAACTCATCTAACAACGATACAATAGAACGACAAACAAAATTGAGACATTGTAATAATAAAGCAAACACATCAATAATCACATACGCAAATTAAACCCTCAAAACTAAATGTAGAGAAACTGTTATCTCATTTGATCTAACACTACTTGAAGGCGTCAATACATGGGAAGATATGGGTAAGGTTGACCAACAGCGTCTACGATGGACTCAAAGTATGTAAAAACGTTGAAACTACCTCTTTTGCCTATAATAGTACTGAATCCTACGAGGTGACACTTTCATTACAAACACATCTCTTCATACGACAACTCCAAACCTGCAAAATAGATGGATATCTTATATTAGTAAGAGTTAATTACAGAATCAACGAAGACAATATGATTTAACAGTCTCAAAAAGCACCGTTTTGAAAGTATTTCCAAATGTTACAAAAAAATGAACGAATTAAATTAATATAATATGTTGTAATTTAAAATAAAAAATAGATGTCCCAACTACAAATTTGGTGTTGCCAGAATTTGTTGGTAAAATAACCGAACCCAATTTTGCAAATTTTGATTGACGAAATTGCCCCTTTCACATTTCTTTACCTCTTAGAAAGGCATTTTAACCTATTCCAAATAATTTTTTTAACTGCAAATTGCCCCTTTCAGATTTTCATTTAATTCACATATTTCATATCATGTTCGTTTTCCCCCTCATCTTCCCTTTTTATTTTTTTTACCTTTTGAAAAACCCAAACCCGTTTGGAACTTTGGTGGCTCTTGGTTGGCAGTGGGTGTGCAGGTGGGTGGCCAACGGTGGGTGAACTTCACTGGGAAATGTGCACCGATGGTAGTAATCGGAAGATGGTGGCCTCGAGTTGAAGGAGGGTGGCCGACGATAGGTGAACTTCACCACAAAAGGTGCGCCGACAGTGTTTAAAAAGGATGGTGGGCTCGAGTTGGATGAGGAAACCGAGATGGTGGCGGATCTCTAGTTCTGGGCACCGGTGGTTGCGCTCTAAACTAGTGGCCTAGGGCTGCCTGCATAATCAGGAGTCAGGAATCAAATTTCTAAAATATGATTTCCTGAATAATGAGCCAAATGCTTATTTAAAAAATCAGATTACAAAAGTTAAAGAGTAATCCTACATTTACACCACTTTTTTACATCATTTTCATTACATCATGATGTGACATATGCCACAACCACACAAAATTTTAATTATTTAAATTTTTTAATATTATAATAGAATTTGTGTGATTGTGGTATATGTCATATTATGATATAATAAAAATGGTATAAAAGAGTGGTGTAAATATAATATTACTCAAAGTTAAATATAATAATGAAACAAACGGTTTAAGCTTTGGTTTAGGTTACTTTCAATTAAACTATGGGCTGGATATGGATCCGAACCCATAGCATATCGGGTTAAGATATGTTAGCATGGAGCCCATTCCCGCCAATGAAAGGAGATCTGAAGAAAGCTCAGAGTCCTAATTTCCAAATTTGAGTGCTTAAACCCTAAACCTATCACTCATCATTACAGGAAGTCAGGAACGTCGTTCGGCTGAGACGACTGCCTGGTTTCCGTCCGAATCTTTCCATTTCAGAATAACAGGCAAGCTTTGTTTCTTTTTACTTTACATTATTGATGTGCTAAACAACTGCTAAAACTTCTTAAAAGTCCTCACATGATGAATCCCTTTATTTGCAAAACCCTAATATCACTTTACTTGAAGAACTCTCTGCACGTCCGAAAACCACCGATTACATACTCAATTTCGCTCCATTTCTTCTCTACTTCTTCGTCTAGGTCAAAATCTAAAATTTCCTTGGCTGATTACTTAATCAATCAGCACAGTTTCTCTCCTGAAGCGGCCTTAAAAGTCTCATATCTCCAAACTCACCTTAAAAATCCTGAAAAGTTGGATTCTATACTGTCATTTCTCAAAGAAAGTGGTTTCTCCGATACCCGTATTGAGATAATCGTTAGAAGAACACCTAAGATCCTCTCTTCCAGTCTTGATCGTACTATTAAGCCCAAGATCAAGATTTTGCAAGACTTGGGTTTGTCATCAACGGATATTGTTGAAATATTAACTGCTGATCCCTGGTTTTTAACGAGAAGTGTGAAGAAGGTAATTCTACCATCAATTTCGGTGTTGAAGAGTGTTTTAGGATCCAATGCTGATTTTGGTAAGATTATAAAGAGAGGTGGGTGGTTTCTGAAATTGGATTTGGAGAAGACTCTGATACCTAATATAGAAATTTTGAAGGGTTGTGGAATTGCCAGTTCGCAGATTGTTAGATTCATACGTAGTTTCCCCAGACTTTTTCTCCATAAGCCTGATGGCATTAGGAATTTTGTGAAAAGAGTTGATGAAATGGGATTTGATAGGAAATCTAGGATGTATCTTCCTGCTATTCGAGTAATAAGTTCGATGAATAAGGAGCTTTGGGAGCGAAAGGTGAATCTTTTCAAGAGATTGGGATACAGTGATGATCATATTCTTTCAATATTCAGGAGCACACCCCAAGTATTTTCAACATCTGAGAAGAAGATTGAAGGGATAACCAAATTGCTGCTTCAAAGAGGGAACGTGGATATTTCACTTATCGCTGACAACCCTGTACTCCTTCTATGCAGCATTGAGCACAGATTAAAACCTCGGCTAGAAGTTTTTGACTTACTGACAAGTAAGAATTTAATTCAGAAGGAAATCAGTTTGGTTACCATTTTTATGACATGTGAAACGAAGTTCATACAGAAATATGTGCTTCCTTATTCTGATGAACTTGGAAAACTAATGTATTTTTGGTTAGAAGACATCAAAACTATGAATTGTAATAAAGATCTAAATTTGATCTTAGGATGTTCTGAGGGCTGATTGATATGTAGGTGTTACTATTTTGCTCCAATGAATCATATCTTTTTATTTATTTGTTGTTTTCTGTGGTGTTAAATTGAGGATAAAGTTTAAATTTTACTTGTTTTTTGTTGATTGAACCTAGTTAGTGCATCAAAGTTAAATAAATTGGGAATTGTTGTCTTAATATTCAATATCTGCACTCACTGCCGCCACCTTTTGTTGTATGTTCAAAACCAAAGAACAATTTGTTGTATATTCTTTCTAGAGTACTTTAAGTCACTGAAACTACATTCAAAGTATTGTGTACTCTGGCTTAAATGTTCCGAATGGAGGAAATTTTTTGCTGAAAGGATGCTTCAAACTATACAGGAAACGAAATTTATCCTTGATGATTTGTACCTCAATTTGAATCTGCTGGTGGCTTTTATTTATTTATTTTTTTTCTTAATTAGTTCATAATTTGACATGTGAAAATTTTGCCAAGCCACTTAGCAATGTTTGTGCCTTCAAGATTCTATTTCTAGATGATAAAAAAATAAAAAATAAAAAAGATTCTAGATGATATGCCCCCAAGTTTGTATTCTATTATCTACCACAGATTTGAGACCCAGTACGGACTTAGATCACCCATAAATTATAAGAAATGTGTTGAAGCAGCTGTAATTTAAAAAGAAAAAATAGAAAATTTCATTTTTGTGGTGTAGAATGTGAAAAACGATCATTTTTGTTCGCTGGAGTTGTGAATTCTGTTGTTTTTCGAGATTTGTTTCTTTCATGTGTTTTCCAGTTTTTTCTCTTCTGCAGCTCTTCCAAGAATCGATTCCACAATTTACTTTCATTAAACGTTTTAGTATGTGTAGAATGGAGGGTCATCTTCTATCATTCTATCTCCAGTATGTCTGCCAAACCCTCATTTTGCCAGATTGTATAGGTGCATTGAATAAACTTTTCAACATTCAAAAATCTTCAAGACAAGTTAATCACCCAGTTAGGATATTGAAACCTTTCATTTCAGATGCAGTAAGTAATCAAGTATGCCCATGGATATCACCGGGCTTTGAATTCTTGGTTATGAAATTCTCTGCTACATGAATTGGATGTTGAATGAAGTTTTCTTAGGCCAATAACTACTACTGTTAAGACGAAGTTGTAGGAATTAACATGTATTCATACAAGTGCTCATAACAGAACTTGGAATTCCTTGTTTCAGAAATTTATGATATTGAACCAAATTATTTACACACAAATTACAATCAAACTGTTGTTACAAATTACGAAAACAAAAGGAAAACCCAACCAAACTAAATCAAACCTCAACTCGTTCAACATCAAAACGAGTTCATTTCTAACATATAACTCCTACTCTTAAGCAATTCTTGCACAGCTTCTCTATATATCCCATCACCAAACGCCCCCAGTGCTAGTTCACCATCATCCACGTCGTCTTTCCCCTCACTAGGCCTAACAACCACCAGGGTGGCACCCTCCACCCAAACCCCAGCCTTCAGCATCAGCTTTGGCTCGTGCCTCATCCGCATTTTCACACTCGGCACCATCGTCCGACTCCTGTCCCACTGCCCTTCGCTAACATGCGCCCCTCCTAACCTACACTCTCTCATCCCTTCCTTATCCATCACCACTGTACCCTCCCCTTCTCTATCAATTAAAACTAAACTCTCCATCTCTTCATGCTGTCTAACCACGTCTTCCAACATAAAGTGTTTGGCGGAAGCCACGATTAACGCGCTTATTGTCCACATCACTCTCGTCTTTAATCCTCCCACAATGTCAATCTCAGCCCCTTCTCCGGGATTTTCGCTAGCTGTTGTTGAAGCCGACTTGAACCCGATAATCACGCAACTCTTTAAACTTCTACCGAACTCAGCTCTCCATTTCACAGATACGCCTTTGTCTAAAGTTAGATCACCGGCGGGTAACTCAATCCGAAGATTCCTCACTCGATCGAACTTTGTTAAAATTTGGGCAGGTGAGTTCTGGACTAGGGTTCGGGTCGGATTGTGGGGTTTGATTGAGGTGGATAGAAGGTCGTTGAGGGACTTAAAGAAGATTTTAAGGAAGGTAACGAGGAGTGAATCGGATTCCGACTCGGGCGAGATGACTCGGTCGACTGTTAACGAGAGGGATTCGGTTTGCGGGACTATTGAGTTGAAACGTTTTGAGACGGCACGGCAACGGATCAGGGACTTGATGTCGGAGACTGAGTTGAAGATGAGAAGGATGAGGGAGTCCGGGAGTTGATCAAAGCCGTCCATTTTTTTACAGTCGATCATTTAGGATTTTGGGTGTTTGTAAACTGGGTAAGCTCTGTGTCTCTGCCTTTTAATGGCAAATAAATTGAGTGAATGAAAGATAAAGGAATGGGTGTTGTGCATTAAAAGATTGTACATTTGACCGTTGACATGAGCAGCATGGGGCCCACACTTAAGAGTGCCGGCTTTGGAATTAATGCAACGGTACTATTTGTTATCAGATTTGAAACTGTAATAACACAAACTCAAGGCCAGCTGTGAGATTAAGTTTTTGTTTTAAAAAATGTTTAATGATTTTAGAGGAAATCTTTTACGAGCGTATTTTATAAGAATGGGAAGGTCGTGTTTAATCATTTATGCAAGTGAGATTATTGAGTTAGGTTTAATAATGTTGTCAAGCCTAATCCATGATAATTGATATTGATAGGTATAAGAGTAAACTCATGCCATTTTTATTTCCATGCATAGAGAGGTCATGGCTCATGAGGGGGAGTACTTTGGAATTCTTTAATGAATTGATTAACTTAAAATTTTAATAGATGCATAAATCCGTTTGTTAAAATATTAGCATCAATGAAAGATATTGTCAAATTCGGCATTCCATATTAGTCACAATATTTAATAGAAACTTAGATATAAGCTATCCATTATAGTATTATACACCTCAGCTTGAGATGGAGACATTTTGAGTTGGCTTTTGAATTTGACTCTATCAACGCATTTGATAACCTAACTCATAATGGCTCTGTCAATTCACTCGTGTTCTCCCCTGTTTGGACGCCCAACCGCATAACATTTCAACAAGTTGTAGCTGTTTTAGTAGACTGTTCTATTCAATGAGATGTCGATTGGACGAAAAATCAAAGGAACAATTTATATGATAAGTGATTTACAACATAAATAAGGTAATATTGGTATTGGCCTGTCTCAAAACGGACAGTAATGCTTTAGCCGGTCTCATGTCTAGCTAAGAACAAGAGTAAACCACTTTTTCCCACCTAAGGTTTGCTTTAATCACGCTTTTCCACCTAAAAAATTTTAAAATATCAATTTATTATCCAAAGTTTATATTCCGTTTACTACCTATAACACCCTTTTTTATTCGGTAGCGAACAGAGAGCAAACTTAGTCAAGATTGTTGAAGCTTTTGAAGAGGGGATGCTAATGAGTCTTTTGGTGATGACAAATTAGATTTTGGTAGTCAACATTGATAAAAATTTGACTTGAGAAAGGCGGTTGCATGTTCTGTAAATTGCTCAATTATTGGCGACTGGCGAGGTCGACGGAAGCAAGGTTTGAGTAGTTTTAGTGAATGACAATTAGGGAAGAGAATGATGGTGGTGTAGGGTTGCAACAATGACGGAATTGGCCAACGATTGACGACAATTAGCCAAGTTGGGGGGAGCGCACTCACTTGCCAATTCTGATAATGTTGCAACCCCACACGATCACCATTTTTTTCCCTAATCATCACTAACCCTCAAACCTTGTTTCCGTCAACCTTACCAATCACTAGCTATCGAGCAATTTGTGAAACGCACAGCCGCCTCTCCCAAGTCAAATTTCAATCACCAAAAGACTCACCAACCTCTCCTCTTTAAAAACCCTAGTAACCTGGACTAAGTTTGCTCTCTTTTCGTCACTGGATCATAAATCCTAAGGGATGTGTATTTTGGGTAATAATAGAATATAAACTTTGGGTAGTAAATTAGTATTTTGAAACTTTTTGGGTGGAAAGGTCAATGAGGCAATCCTTGGGAGGGAAAAAGTTATTTATTCTAAGAACAGTCTGATGATATGGTCGGTTCCATGTCTTAGTCAGACCGCCAACGTAAAGTTGAATGCGACATGACGTCCAAAACCAGAGGCCCATAATAGCACATTGCATTGTTGTTAAGGTTTTTAATTAAAGGTTAATAAATTGACTCCGTAAACTGTATAAACAACTTCCAAAAATAGTTAATGAACTTAAAACTAAATCTTATCTTTTTGTTTTTCACTAGAAAATCAACTGACTTTTGTTCCCACTCCCTCTCTCAGACCCTCCCATTATCATTTTTTTTTTCTTATGCAAAGCAACCTCCATCATCGAATTTCAAAGATACTAACCTCTCCTCTTGTCTTGTCTCTACCACCGCTCCGCATCTTATCATGGCGGAGCGGCTCCCGACTGCCACTGATCCAAATGTGAACCCCAATCAACCATTTCTTCATGACTCCAATGACCCCACCTTGAGTTCCAGCACTTACGTGGTTCAGATTCCAAAAGATCAAGTTTATCGCGTACCACCTCCAGAAAACGCGTTGATCGTTGAACGTCATGATAAAGAGAAGGCAAAATCCTGTTGTTCATGCTGCATTTGTTGTGGTGTGTTCATTGCTATTGTTGTTATTGCTATTGGGGTCATGGCAGCCATTACCATTATTTTTCTTAAAACTTAAGGGCGCGCCTTGTGGATTCTAGTTAATGTATAGAAACCAAGAGTAAGATATTAAGTTAAAAGAGTTGAAATTTCGGAGAAAGAGTGGGGATTTCGCACTAGTAAGGCGGTGTTTGTACATTAATGAGTTTTTCATTTAGGTTTGATCGGTTCAGAAAATTAGTATATATATGAAGGAGGTATACGCCTCTTTGTGTATTGGGGGCGTCAGCCAGTTAGGATGTAATTGAGTTAGATTTTAGACTGGTGGGATTAATTGTTAAATATAATCTGCTAAATGTGCTCGTATTATTTTCCAATCCTGTAAAACTGATCGCTGAGTAAAATTCTAACTGAGGTTTGAATAGACGTAGAAAGTAATTGAATTGGTGTTGGTTTCAGAGAAATTCATCCTTTTGGTTGCGCTTTGTTGTTGTTATTATTATTATTATTTCGTAATCGTTTGAAGCTGATATATAGCATTGTATATGTATATATTAAGGTTATGAATTCATAAAAGGCATGCATTTCTCTAATTTTGTCACTTTTTTTTTTTTGGGTTTACCAGGGCTGACATTTTATTTAATCTTTTTTTTTTTTTTTTTTTTTTTTTTTCCTCAACAGTTTCATTCTTTTCCGTAGATATTTTACATCAATACGTGTTGAATTAGGACCCGATGAAACAACTTCTATGTTTAATTTTAGTTTTGGTTTTGGTTAGTTTAAGAATTAATCTACATATAACGAAAGGCACATATTTTACTTTTCTTTGCCTAAACTCATGCATTACATGTGTGAAGTCGAGAAATACTTACACAGGGAAGTCCCACCACCTCACTATACTAACGTGATGACTGATGAGACTATCCAATTAAATAAATGCACTTATTATTAATTTTCAAAACTACCTTTCATGGTGGTGGTTATTGATGTATGACAATAAATAGTTATTTTTTAATCATGGTGATGATGGAATGAAAGAAAATTTTTTTTTTTTTTTGAATATGTGATAATTATACATGTTGTCAGAGTTTGAGACGGCAAGAGTGGCAGAACTGAAGCCTGAGTATGCTAGAGAGAGAAGAGAAGAAAAGAGAAATGGTATTATATATTTTATGTATGTCTAAGCATTGTACAACCTCCAATTTATACAAGAGTGTGGAAATAATAAAGGAAATACAGTTAATTGTAATTACATAAAATTAGGGAGGAATTTAGGGAAATGTAATTGCTGAAATCATGTAATGAGACTGCTGGAATCGTGTAGCTGAAATTAAGTCATAATCTCAGCATTTGATAATTCATCACGTGTCATTATGTCTTTAAATGGTCTTATCACCTCAATAAAATGAGGTGACGAGACTATCTTATATATATAAATTTTTCTCCTGTGAAGTCTATTTCTACGGGACGAACACTTATCTCCTTATTTGTTTTTCGCTTGATTAAATATTCAAGCAATATTTTACTATTAATATTATATGATAATAAAAATAAAAGAGTTAAAATAGATAATAATGATAAATTATTATAATAAATCAATAGGATAAGATTTTAAGACTTGTAGTTTTAACTTAAATTCTTGTTATAATTGCATCAAAACATCATCTAATTTTAATGATTTTAATTACAAGTGGAAAAAATAAAAAAAAACACATTTAATGTTAACTAAATATCATAGGATTAATTATTCTAGAGTCAAGTAAATTCATATAAGAAAATGATGAATTCTCCCACAAAATTCCGTAAATGAGACTGGAAATTAAAATGTTTCATAGATTATGAAAGTATTTTAAGAAGAGATATGTGAACGTTTATGTATGAGACCATTTCTTAATCAATTGCTTCATTTAATGCCTCATTCACTTGTGAAAATGCTAGTCATTATTTGATTGAACTTGGCCACAGCTGGCAAGGTGGAAAGCCACCCTACCTACAGCCAGCTGATTTGTAACAAGACCAAGCTGATTTGAGTTTCCTATTTTAGCAGTCTAAATGGGCCTGGCTTACGTGGAGTCCATTATTTTTTTGGAGATGAGGCAATCAGGCAAAACTCCTGAAGTACATTATGGGCTGGCTCATGAATCTGTGTCCCAAATCCACATAGTATATCAATCGTTTTTTGTCCGTTTATGAACTAGCTACCTGATTGTAAATCCACAGGAAAACAAAATGATAATGGAAGAAACAAGGATTTGATCTTCCATAACCATAAAGCCAGAGTGGCATGTTACTTGGGCAGTTAATATAAGAATGTCGTGTCGTTTCCGATGGTGACGGAGAGCAACTTGTCATCTTGGCGCATCTTGGTTTAATGAAAAAGACAGAGATAGCCAAAATTACTTTTACTAAAATCCAATCAAATGTAAGTTTAGTGCAAGAAAACAACATTGAGGGGGACACAGTTTTAGATTAAACTGTAAGTCACAAGTAAAAAAAAATGAAAACAGATGTACTTTGAAGTAAAAGATTTGTTTCGAAAAATAATTAAATGATAATGCATTGGGATTCAGTAATGGCTGAACTCTGAAGCTGAACATGAGTCCCATACTCTATTACTTCACCAACAGATTACACATGGCAACAGTGGTAATAAGTAGAGTTAAAATAAAATAAAAGAGAGGGAACCTTTGCAGAGTCAATCTCAATATAAATAAAAGAAATGAGGAGTGACAACACAGGGATCCCTGGTCCTGCCTTGTTAGTTTGACAGGTAGAAAATATTCTGTGCGAAGCTGATTAGGATTAATCGCCATTAGCAATATTTAAAAGGATTAAAAGCATAACATTATTAATATTATATAAATGGTGAGACTGCTGGGGGGAAATATTGGAGGTTCAATTGGTTACTGTAGTCATCTGTGTCAGAGTTATCCTCCAATAATGATGCGGGTGCGTACGAACGAAGCAACAAATCCATATTTTTATTGAGAAAAACAAAACAACTTATAAATTTGCTCCCTGTAACAAGGTCACCACCTTGATCACATGGGAATCAATTATCCAATTGTTAAGAACAGGCACAGCCCAACATTGACCAAACTTTGGTACGAAATTATGATTATTTCTGTGAAAATGAACCACTCTGCCGCGCAGCGCTCGACCCTCTATGCCGGGACCATTAACCTGAAGATTAGAGCGACACGTTTACAAGAAACCATTATTGATGAGTATCTCCGTGGCAAAAACATGCTGCAGCCTGCAAAGAGCATCTCTAGAGAGCAAAAACGTATGGAAACTAGATCGATATATGTTCAAATATTAATTAATGATTTATATTAATTAATATGAGCGTGCATTGGTCTCAAAGTACTGTTACAGATCATGGGTTGAAGCTGTAAACACAGAGTGCAAAGATATAATAATGGTGGAGCAGCAAGATCATTTTCATAATCTCAAGCATATTGGGAGCAGGAGGGTTGAACTAAAAAACTAATTGTAAATTGCTTTGGAGAACCTGCTTCATAGAAGATCTAACAAGGTTAATATTTGATGAATGTATGGTTAGTGAATAAAAGCTGTTTAATTAATAATAAAAAAAAAAAAGGTAGTGTGATCCCTTAGTGAGGTATAGTTGGTTGTTATGGGGAAGTGATTCCCTTTTCCTCTAATAATTAGGGGTTTCTAGTAGTTAAATAAATAGAGGTTAAGGCAACAATGATGGGTTGAATCTAGTGGCATATTTCTTTACACGTATGAAAGGAGGAGATCAGGGTGTTTCATGGCTTGGAAGCATGTTGGGTGTCCCCAGTAGAAAAAATCCATGTGTCTTCTTCAAATCAAGCACTTTAAGTGGATTCCAACTCCTCTTCAACCATGGGAACCCCTTCACCTGGTAGTGGGTTTCCCTTTCACCACCTAACTCTCTGAAAATAACCATTAATTTATGTTTTTTTCATCCGTTTAGATACAACTTTTAGATTCGTTTAATCTTTTGAGGTGGGCTCTCTAAAATCTAAGTGCCCAATGGTTTAGGTCTATATTTCTGTTTGGAAGCAATGGCTTTGGTGTCAATATCCTTTTCAACTTTTAACACTACTTCCCTTGTCTCTCTTTAAAGCTTCCCTCTATGTATCACTAATTAATACTCCTCCTCTCTCTTTCTTTATATATAACCATAACCTCTCTACTTTTAGCTGTCTTAATTTCATATAAATATTTGATTTAAAAAACTGTGAAATCATGTTCCTATTCATATGACCATTGTCCTGTCCTATCCAAGGCTGCCTAATCTCTCCCTTAATCACTCTGCCAATAAAGTTTGATTTAACTATAGTTTCTTTATTTATTCTCTGAGAAAAAGCCGCAGAAGCATCTATAAACATGTGTTCTGAAGTGGGTCATGAATGGTGCAACTGGTTAGGGGAGTTTGCACTTCATAATCAGATTCATAACACGTTAATCTGTTATAAACAGTTGTTTTCAGAGAGAATTAGGCGATTTCCATGATATGCTTTTCTTATTTATGAAAATATTGATAAGTTTTTTTTATTTGCCATGCAAATCTAATGCTAGCTGCATCTTTTATTGTTCATAACTTACACTAAATTAAATAAAAAAAAAAAGCTCCACAAGATAGATATACGAGTAAAGAATTGGATGTTTCCTTTAGTTACTTTTATTACTGTTGTATCTCAGTGTCACATTCATGGTTGAAGAGTGTAAGCATCAAACGTCATCAACTTTCTTATTATGAACAAGCACACTCTCAAACCTTAATACCCAAGCTTACTTAGTTTTTATTAGATATAATTGATGTATTCTGCACGAGAGTGTCAACTGAATCGTGTCCGTTGAACCATGTCCACAAACTCATACGGTTTGATACAAATATTTCGCTAATAACTTGATAAATATTTGTTTTATGTTTTCTCGAAACAAAATATGCATAACATAATATCACGTTATTGTCAAGCTTTAATTTTTAGACCTATCAAATCAATAGCGAAAGACTAATATGATATTTGTAATTTGTGGAGTCAAATATGAACTTAGAAATATACATAATAGCATTTAATAATGTCCCATAAGAGCCACGCTGTCTGACTTTCTTGGCATCTGTACGACGCTCTCCATTAAAAAATATATGTGGTGACTGGCATGGACGAAGCCGAGTTCAAAGATTCACACTCACAATTTCATTACCGGACGAGAACCTGAGGGGGGCTTGGAACGGTCCTTTTCCCTACTATTCTATTCAATAACTTCTAAAATATTAAAGTATGTAATATGTATTGGTCCCTAGCCGAAGAAGAAAGTTCTTGAGTTCTTTAGCTAGACTCTGCGTGGGCTTAATCGGGTAAGCCAACTATATACTAGTTTTATGATATTCTTTCACGTCTCGGCTCTTTTATTAAGCATTTTATATTGGTGATTATTTTTTACGTCTCCGTTGTTTTTATTTAGGCCAGATAATAGAATATTTACATCTGAAACGGCTTGCTTTGCTGCAGAAAGATTAATTCAAAACAAATGAAGGTGGTGAAGCTGGTACACAAACGCTATCATATCAATTCATGATTTTGAAATCTCTCGCCCACTCGTTATCTTCTCCTTCTAAATTTCTCTCTTTCTTTTTTTTTTTTTTTTTTTTGGTAAATTTTTTCAGAAAAAAAAAAAGAAAAAGAATGGACATGTTGTAAGGAGGAAGAGCAGAGAGGAGGAAGCCATTAAAAATTTCTGAACAAGAAAGACACATCAATCCACCATTAACCAACTTCGGTAGGTGGGATCAATTTCTTAATCTCTATGTTTACAAGCATATTATTGTTGCCGTAGAGACGAGCGTTTCCAATCTACCAAACGCCGCAAAAACTCATTGACCTGTAAAATCAATAGTAAAATATTAGCCTAACTTGCATCATACAATTTTTAACCGAAATTAAAAATGGGGTGGCAATGAAAAATATTCTATACCTCGGATGGTTCTTGGAGAGAATAGGAAGCATTTGTATCCTTGGGAACTTTAGAAACAAGGATCCCCAACCCCTGTTCTCTATTGCGCAAAACCTAATCCCCATACAATAATACGTTAGGATAAATAAAAATTAAAGGATATTTAATTAAAAAGAAGGATGTAATTAAAGAGCATTTGGTACCTTGAACGCATCCTCATCGGTTCGATCATCGCCAATATAGACTGGTACAACATCTTTAGAATTAGCATATCCTGAAGAACACCAAGAATATTACGTACACCCCAATAAAATAAGACCATTTACATATGAATTAAAGTAAGTAAAATATACTCACCTAGTGCCTCTAGCAAGAATTCAAGTGCTCTGCCTTTGTCCCATTTTATTGTTGGGCGGATCTCTAACACCTGTTGGAACCAGTTAACAGTAAGTCAGATTAATTAACATATAATTTCTGTAACAAATCTAGTAGTGTGTACTATTTTTATTTTTATTTTTTTCAAGTGAAACATCATGATCAATAAAGAAATTAATAACATACCTTTCTTCCTTGAGTTAGTTTCAGCTTTGGATACTCATTAAGAACTAATCTAACTTCCTCGGCTAATGTACCCCAACTCTGTCAAACAAACAAAACAAAATATTAGCTTCTAAAATATATGGAAGTTTATAAAAGTTTTTTCTTTTTTTTTTTTTTTGTTTAAAGAAAAACTGGTTAGCGGATATGTGGGTTTGATTTGTACCTTTTCATCAACACAGCGAAAGTGTACGGAGAGACAAAACTTGTTGTTTTCAACCTTAGCCCCTGGAATTGATTTTGTTTTCTCTAACAGGGCTTTGTAAACCTGAATGTGGAAAAAGAAGATACAGAATTAGATAAACCTTCCATGCACGCATACTTCTCTCTCTTTCCTTTTTTCTACAAATTGGTGGAACAAAACAGACCTCATCAATCATGGGTAGGAATTCACTGGCGGGTTGAAATAGAACTCCTTGGTTACCCTGAGAGTTCAGAAATAAGAAACAAAAACATTCTAAATACAGAACAAAAAACGCAAAATTACAAAAAGTCATGCACAAGTTTAGTTTTGATCATTTACTCACCTTCTTGTATTTACGACTTTTGGATGGACCTTCGATGTCCATGCCATGGCTTGCTGCGTAGTAAAGCCCGGCTAATTTTACAAAGCTAAAAACCTGCATATTTTGTGGTATTGAAACATTAGATTAACTTAAGACAATCGAAAATCAGGAGTGAAAAATTCAATGACTACTTGTGAATTGTGAAAAAATGTACCTTATCTCTGCATCTCCCTGTCACTATAGCTGTGGGAAAATATCTGGCGACGTCCCTGACAGCTTCTCGCATCTGTATTTTAAATACCACTTACTAATTAGAATTGACAGAATAAATACCGCTGATCAAATGAAACTATGAAAATAGCATAGAGAGAGAGAGTGAGACGTGCACGCTAATGAAGAGAACAGAGAAAACAGAACAAACCTCGTTGGTCATGAAAGCTCGATCCGGGTCTTCAACAATAGGCGCCAGAGTACCGTCATAATCAAGAAACATGACTATTTTCTTCCCTTTTGAAGCATTCACAATCTCCTCAAACTTGTCTAAAGCTGATGGATGATGAGCCTATTTCGAAGAACAAACAACAAAGATCAGCAATGTTCGAGAAATCAACTAATACATAAAATAAAAAGTACTAGCTAGAGTGTTATAGGTACGTACAATCCAAGAACTTTGCTCTTCAGTTTCTGATAGAGAAGCCGTGGATTTGACACGAGTAGGAGAAGAGTCTCTCATGGAGTCAACCCAAGCATGGACTTTGGGCCCTCCTTCATTATCAAGTTTTTTCAAGACTTTCTTTCGAGATATGGTGATGTGCTTTGAAAAAAGAGAAGAGTTGGACAAGGTGACTGTAATCTTGACACCAATAGTTGGTTTGGATTCAGAAACCATCACATTTTGGTTAGTCATTGTGTGGGGGGAAGAAAACAGAAAACAGAGAAGAGAGAAGAAGAAGAAGATGATGAAGAAGGTGTTTGATGGTGGTGGTGGCAAAACGTGTAGTGAGTATTAAGAGAAGAGAGGGGAAGAGGGGGTTAATAAACACTTGAAAAAGTTGAAAATCACACGCGCACTAAACACAAAGTTAACGAGTGACAACTTGGGGAGATGTCTATTCAATTTATAAAACTTTGTTTCACGGCACTAACGGACGAAACAACCACCCGTTTTCTGGGCTACCTGTACTTTTCGAGCACATACTATATTTTTCTAAATGGTCCCTGTTTGTGATCCCACTGACCCACTCCCCCCTCTCCTCCCAATATTATACTATTTTTCTAACTTCCTTTGAATATATATATATATTTTTTTTAAACCAACAACTTCTTTTTTTAATCTAATTTATTCATATTATTATTATTTGATTTCAAACTTATTGACTTTATTACTAGTTTAAAATTTACCTCATTGGACAATGATTCTCTTTCACAAATCTTACCAAGAAGATAATCAAAATTGTTACCATTCCATCAGATCTGCATGGTCCAATTAAAGTAAAATGCTTCCCATAATTTGATAATATTTTATATCCTGGGATTAAAAAAAAAAAAAAAAATGCAGACATGGACATGTATGATTATGAGAAGGAGAATCAGGGAAGGACCCCTCTCCAGTCTCCACCACTATCCTATATAAAGCACTAATAGAGTTGATAAAACGGTGAAGGACCACTCTCAATAATTTTGATTGTTACTTAGTTTTGACTAAATAATATTATTGCCCAAGTGGTAAAAAAAAAAAAAAAAAACAAGTTTATTCCAACTTGTCATTTCTTTTTATTATTTACTCCTCATGAATCATGCATGCAATTAAATTCTATTTTACCATTCATCATTATCCACATCTAGGCCAATTAAGTTTAACACACAGGAAAAGTGTGATTTTGTCTAGGGCAGTGTAACTATATAGTAAACTTATTTATGTGATTAATTAAGATAATTAAAATCTAGTTGCAATACATCAATTATGGTCGTATCTTAGTATAACCTTAACTCCGTTAAAAATGTCCTTGATATAGTCAACGAGGATCGTGTTATATTTAATAAATAGGAATGGTTTCAGTGACCATATTGATATAGCTTTCTTTCCTTTTAAGTTACAATGAAAACAACAAAAACGTACAAGAAAACAAAAAAATTAAAATGGAGTCAAAGACTTTTTCATCAAACACTTTTGTGGGGAATTTGATTATTGTGTGATTGTTCAACGCATGATTAAATAAGAAAGTTTAATAGTAGCATAGCTGCAGGGCAAATTAAACAGGAGAAGGAAGGTTTAATTGGATCACACCGCCCCTTGTAAAGGTTCGTGAAACAAGCAGCTCCAAACCTAACCTCTTGTAGTTTCAAATCAAAACCAGCAGCTTCTTTTGTCTCGCAATTTTGACGTGAAGTGTTCGCGTCTACATTAGGTATTTTGGGGTACTTGGCCATTTGTGCATGGCGCTTTTCTTTTCATTTGGTCGGCTAAACTCCATATAATTGGTCCTCATTCACTAAACTAATTGATATATTTGCATTAATTAAAGATTAATGGAACCTCTGTTGCATAAAGGGACAAAGACCTTTTCTGTTTTAAAACAGACATTTATAGCTGATTTTCATCGTTCTTTTAGACTATTATGATTGATAATTGTATTATGAACAATGTTGAAAGGGACGACAAAGAAAGATGGTGGAAGTTTCCAAATCATTGCTGTAAAGTCTCCTTTGTATTCCATTTCACGTTTTCTCACCGTCGACAGTCAAGAAAAAACCAATGATCCCAATTTTGCTTTTAATAGTTTAGTGAATATTAGCAGACTAATATTCGGTAATATAATCGGAAGTTTTTGGGAAAAAAAGAATCCCATAGAATTTAAGCAAGAAACATAAGCATGAGATCTGTGTACAATTAATCACATTCTTAATTAAACGTGTTAAATTGTATAGTAAAATGGAGGAGAACTGTGCATGCATAATTTATATATACAGATGGTCAAAACAGGAGGCCTTGGGAGATGCGTTTAAGCAATTACCGAATCCCACGTGATTGAGAGATTGAATTTCAAAGTTGGGGCCGTCGAAGAATGTCAAAAGGAGGGAGTTAGGCAAGCTAAAGTTAGATTTCAATGCCATCAAAATCTTTTATTCATGCCGGAAAAAACTCAACCGCCTTAGTCTTCAGAATAACTTTATAGTTAAGGAAATCCTTTTTTCGCACCAATCTGTTTCCTAAGTTTTAACTTTCATGCATCATTGTTCATGAAACAACTAGAAACCGAATCTTATTATTTAGGAATGAATTTTCATAAATATGTGGTAAAAATGTTTTTTTTTTTTTTTTTTTTCAATAGAGGTGTGTCTAAGCCTGTTTGCCATCACTTCAATTAATTTAAGGTCTATTAAACACCCTACAAGTTCAATGTTTTAAATAGCCATAAATGTGATAGATGACCTCAAATGATTTGTACCCATAAAATAATAAGAAGAAAACAAATATTTGACCCAAACATATATTACCTAAATTAAATATGTTTTAATTTAGGTAATATATGTTTGTTAATTGATATATATATTCATCATACTAATTAAAGACTTTCTTTGTTAATCATTAATCAGTTTAATATTGTGACAAATGAAATCAATTATACGCCCCATTTGTTTAAAATATTTGGAGATTCTAATTATATAGGAGACTTGATTCCAAGATTCCTTACGCAACAATGGAAGAGATTTTCTCCCACTACAAAAAATTCAATGGTTTATATATAATTAACACATGCATAATTGTCATGTTTCAACTAATCCTTTGCATTATTGAAAGATGTGGCTATATCGGTTAAAAATGTAAAAAGTAAACGTTATTTTGTTAATTGTACTTTTGCATATGCAGTGACATATGCATCTTGTGTGGCAACACGTAAGCATTCAATAATAGAACACTGTGCTACATTTATTGCCAAAACTACTCTCACACCAAGTGCCTGCCTGTTATCAACCAAACAACCACATTTTTATAAATCGCGTGGTTTTTATGTTTTATTTCTTGGAAACTGTCGCTGAAAATATTATGGAGCCTCTGAAAATATATAAAAAGTAAAAAACACGGTGGTGATATGCCCACGTACTCTTCAGTGGACTCGTTGCCCACCTGATTTAAATCCCAGTAGGCTGTAGACCTCGTGGACTTCATAAACATAATTGTGGTGTTAATGAATGCCGATAATTCCTTTCTTCAGCAATCAATCAGCATGGCTCTAACTCGTAAAATCTCACGTGCTCCTCTTATGGTTGTCCCACTTTTAACCTATTTTGTCCTTCTTTCTTTTTCTTTTTTGTGCATATTATGATCTTTTTATTAAAGTATTGTTATCATTCAACTCTGATTTTGAGAACCAATGGTAAAAAGTAAAAACGAATCTATATTAGTCAAAAAGGGTGTCGAATTAAATCAAATGTGCTAGTAAATATTCGTTTTTGCCCAAATTAATAAAGTGATTGGGAGTGTCATAGGGCCTAGAGCAGAATGTAAATGTTCTTCAAGAATCAAATCCATGGATCTAAATACACCGACACAGATTAATCTCGATTTGTATAGCATCAAATTTTATTCCAACACTAAAAAGTTGATGTGATTATTGAAGATAAAAATTGTAACCTCCAAGTTTAGGGTTCCTGCAACTGGTTTATCCATCCTTTATGATCCACCACGATCCATATCCACCCACAATTTATAAGCTTCACATCGGCTCAGATATAGAAATTTAAAAAGAAGGGAGGAATATATTTATGTCAATTGATAGATTGTCTTAATTAAAGTTGGTGTTGATGCTTGATTTCGACACCAATAATTCACACAAGAGATATCCTTAAATTACGTAGGGTTTGGACAGATAGACGATTCCTGACCACTCGCTAGCCTGACATTCACTTGCGACACTGATGAAAACTATACATCTTCTATCATTACGTGACGTGACAACGTCTGAATAATAAAAAGCCTCCTTGAATTTTGATTCACTCTTGTTAACGAGAGTTCACAGCAGTCTTGACTTTTTAGACATAAAAGTTGGGTTTAGTCGAGTCATAGCCAAGTCAGTCCAATGTCATTTCAAAAGCTTCTTATCATAAACAGTACCACATGTAGCACCAAATTTGATATGGCATTTGGAAAGTGGAATTGTAAAATTAGACATCGATCACATGAACAACACATGGCATGTTGCCAACTAGTAATCTCACATCACTCAATTTGACTAATCAAATTTCAGTAGCTAACTTGATAGAGAAACTCAGTAATGAATGTGCATGTTGATGGACTGTCATTCATCATCCTCAAGCTGGTGTTTAGTCATTTCAGTGTGGCACAACTACAACTACAGGAAGAAAAAAAAAAGTACATGAGTTCATTTAGTGCCGGCCCATTTCTACATTGATACATTATCAAGCACCACTCATGGGTGTGGTTATTTTTTTATATATAATGTTGCTATCTCTTCACTGAGTTTTTTTATTAAAGATGTGATTTTTACTCTTCTCGCTCCATAGAAAGCTCCACTGAGAAATATATTAATTAACCAAAAATAGAAAGACGGCAATGGAAACAGAAGACATAATTAGAAAGAAAGGCAACTGAAAAAACTGCCAGAAGAGGTAGGGGAGATCCCATGGGCAGGTTTCGGTTAAGAAGAGAATGCATGGGGCCTTCTCCAATGAAAAATAAAAAACCAGACGCTGCAGAATTATAAGATTGGCTCCACAATGTTTCCTTTTCTTGACAAGACAAGTCATTTGGCGATGGCAATGATTCAATAAGGACCCACAAATTTACGCCTCTAGTGCTTAACCCACTCATTCATTCATGCCATTTCGCGATTGCCCACCACTTCACTTCTCCACTGAAACCCTAATCTCTCTATCCCCCACCACCAACCTCACCACCATAGATATCCTCTCCTCTATCTTCTTTTCAAGATTTTTATGGACTTTAATATTTATTAGACTTACAGTGGTGGAAATGAAAAGTGGAATGTTGTTATTGTATGCTTTTGGGAGCATCTACTCTAGTGTTAATTTCAGAATCTATTCAAGGTGCCCACACTTTAATAATACCATGCATCTCTACAACTACTTTGGTTCACTCATTTCTTTATTTAAATATTTAATTTAAAAAATTAAAGGATGATAAAGGGAGAGAGATTCAAAGTCATTTATTCATGATTGAATTGATGTTCTCTTCTCTCTATACCGATGGGAAATTATAGAAGATTGGATTAAAAAAGTAGATTATGGTATCCTTTATGTAGCAATATGAGAAATAAGATATAGATTATGGTAATTTTTTTATACCCAACTGAAGTTTTAATAATCCTACCTCTACTTCCTCTAACCACGCATAATCTTTCTAGTGTCTCTTTTGATATTATTTTAATTTGGAAAAATCAAGGTTAATGTACTTAGATTAAGTTGGAACATTCTTAGGACATAATTATTACCAATAATTTAACGTTATCTTGGTGAGTTAGGCATGGAATAAATAAACGCATTCATTACACTCATTATTGTCAAGATCCTAAAGTTGCCACTTTTAATTTCTTTCAAATATTTGTTAGTGCCCTGGGCACCAGCTGCCATAGTCCAAAGTTGTATCGATTATTCAACACTAAAATTCAACCCACGTCACATATATATTACGACGTACATTCAGTAATATCTAGCACGCCATTACGGTAAAAGAGTATCCTAATATACAACCGCTATTGCTCTACTGGATCATTTTGTCTCTTACACTCAATTCTTCTCCATGCCCAAAAGTTATATAACTAGGGGAAAAAAAAGAAATTTAATTCTGCTCCAACAAAAGAATGAAAGGGTAAGGCCAACCAATGAATAAAGCCCTTCGGACATTGAAGATTCACAGCTCTTCTGTACAAGATATAGCCGTTTATGAGTAAACTTAAAGCATTAAGAGAACCAAATAGTAGAGTGTGTGTGTGTATATATATATATATATATATATGATAATGAAGAACTCAATAAAGATAACTTTTTTAACAAGTTGGACGTTCATCTAAAGCAAATCTCCGTTAACTATTCTCACGATCGAAGTTGCTATTTGTCTCATTCGCCGTACTTGTGCTTTTCCCTTTTTCTTCTAATGTTTTATCTTTTCACTTTAATTATCATACAATAAATTAAACTCATACTTAGGAATGTACCTAATTAAATATAATTTTTAAGGTAAAATCGGACTTTTTTTCTCTCTTTTCCGGCCAATAACAACAACTAATATTGCAGGAAAATCAGAATCAATCTTCGAATTAGGTCCATGTCAAAATTAAATGATAAGTGAATCAAAAGATTTGATTAAAATATGAGACAAGACCGAATTGACAATCAATTTATTATTGAACACTGGGTGATATTCCTCTTAAGTCCACTTACACTTAGAAGAAGGGCGCCAACTCGACACAATAATTTGATTTTAAGGCAAGCTTCCTAATGATTTGATTAGATCTTTCCGCACCATGTATAGTGATTAAGACCGATGGTGCGAAAGTCGAAACGTGATATGATTTCTAACATTTAGGTATAAAAATTTTTCACGTGCTTAATTATTGCGAAACATGGAGGAAAGAACCTTGCCTGAAAACAACTTTAGATCTTGCGTCCAGCTAGAAAATTTTATTTGAACGATCACAAATGAATATAGTGTATGGCATCTTCTGTAATGATAAAGTAGTCAATACCCGATCCAGTAGAAATAAACCCTTTTTAACTTTAATTAAAAAGAATGGTTTTTTTAGCTATTCAAGTATGATAGTTCAAATTCAACGGAATCAGCTGAATGTAATTTAAAATTAAATAATCTTGAAAAAAAAAATGCTATTAATAAAGCCTAAATATCAATTTATCTTTAACAGACAGAATCAAACAAGAATAAATCAAACACGATTTTACCATAGTTCACTTGTTCAAGATTGAACAAGCTATGTTCACGTTGAGCTCCAAAATATTGGGGCTCACTGCTCTAGGATTATTAAGAGTTTACAAAGTACAAACACACTTGAACAATAGTAAAAAACCCCTCTCTACAGACCGATCACTCAATACAATCATCACAACCCTTTAGTTCTAAAAGAAACCTATCCTAGTTTCTCTACCCTTGAAGGAAACACAGCCTTCTACTTGCGAATTAACAGATCACACCAAGGATTACAAGATTTGAGAGTGAACCGAAGAACCCTAGAAGAGAAAGTTGTTGTTTGAAAGGTGAATAGTCTCACGTTTATATACCGTTGACTGTTAGTTGAAGTCTCAGCCGTTGGATCAGTCACAAATTGATGGTTAGGATTGCAAATAATAAAGAAATAAAACAACAGCGTTTGATGGCTTCACAATTAACAAACCCAAAAAAAAAAATGGGATTTAGGAAATTTAAAATATGGTCATTCAATCGACTCATATATACGCTCGATTGTATTCAATTTGAAGGAAATAGTTTTGAATCTATCAGTTGGTGAATTCCAACAAACACCTCTACCCCCAAGTCTTCGAAATAAGTATTAAAAAAGAGCAGGAATCATGCCTAATAGCATTTGCTTTTTCCTTCTTCATTTTAGGGATTACTATTTCCAAAATGAAAGACTCCATGTGAGAAAAATTTCATATTCTTGGAAGTTTCCTTATTCCATCCTTCCAAGTTGACGAATAGTGGAAGTTTCATGGCGACCCAATGAGCAAGGCCATACATATGAATATAGACAAGAACTTCTTTAATGCAAGTAGCTCATTTTTCTTTCCCAAGCAAAATTCCAAGATACCCAAATCTTAAAGCTAAAGAGGGACTTTCTTTATTATAACATGTAATTAAGGTCATTAAAGAATATCTACAAACCAACGAAACGGCAAGAGAATAAATAAATCAACCATGCTGCCCACAATTTTCTAGATCAAACCCATTTGCTGATTAGAATAATTGTCTAGCTAGTTTAACTTTTTGGTAGTCGTTTGCTGGTTCTGAGACGCTGAATGGTAACCACTAACTACAGAGGATTTGACGAAGCAACATTATAATGCTGGGTTTTTGAGTTCAACACTCACAGTTCTGCATGAAATAAAAATACAAATGCCACTATGTATACGTTATATTTAGATAGGTTCGTGGGCGCATTATAATATCATTATTGACAATCTCTAAACAATTAATCTTTGCACCGAGTACGTGCATGGAGATTGGAGAAGAAATAGAAATGATGATGCGATGAAAACGTATATATATATATGGTGGATTGACTTGTACAGGTTTCTTTGATCAATCGTTGACTTGGAAGAATCATTGCGCATTTGCAATTGTTTCAGGATTCCCCACAATCATCTAAGGTTCACGTAATATTGCAACAACCAAATTCATTAATATTGTCAATGTTCTCCATTAGAAATTGGAAAGGAGTGCTGCTAAAACCCTTCAACAGAATTGCATTAAGATTTTTTTACTCTTGAGGTTGAGGTATAGCTCCAGTCCGAAATAAAATTTCTCTTTGGGCTTCAAACACTGTCAGATGCGCAGGCTGTACTCTACGTTGGGCCCAAGGTTGAAATAGAGAATGGGCTCTTGAGCCTGTTCTTCCACCATAAGTACCCATTTCATGGAAGACGTTAAATTGAAGAAATTTTAAGAAAAATAAAAAATATTACCTGACCATCAAAATTTCCTGAAATTATAAATCAGGACCAGAGTCCTTGAAAACTTCCCACAAATAGAATATCAGGTCTTGATTCAATGGACTTAAGTCAAACTTTTTTTTTCTTTCTATCTGATTTAGATTTAAACTTAGGGATGTAAAGAAAAATAAAACGCCTGGGTTAGTTTTAGAATTAGAGTTGTTAATAACTAATTTTGCTATAAAGTCAAAATTTTCAATAACCTTCACACACCAAAAAAGCTAATTTTAATTCTCTTCACCAAGATCTAGTACATTACACTAGAATACCGAACAAAATTTACAGCAAATCGATAATTAATCCGTAAATACCGTAACAATCAAAAACTCCATAATTGTAAATACGCAAAAATAAAAAATAATACGTATCAGTATACATAATAAATACCCGAGATACGCTACTGTCCGGCAAAAGCCCTGAGTCTTCTCATTCGCGCAGAAAACAAATACATTAGAACGCCGTAGACCGTAGTTTTAGGTGTTCAAATCTTAAACGCCTCGTTGAAACAAATTCCGATTCACAAACGAGGCGCTACGTACCTAAACCCATTAAAACGGAAGCAGCACTATTGGACGTTAGATTTTAAATTGGATTAGATTTATATTAGTAGATCCATCGCGACAATTTCAGCGTATGGACGGCATAATGAATAGGCTACGCAATTTGGACGCTTATCCGAAAATCAATGAGGATTTCTACAGCCGTACACTCTCCGGTGGCCTTATCACTCTCGTTTCCTCCGTCGTCATGTTTTTACTCTTCTTCTCCGAGCTCCGTACGTTTTTCGATTTTTCCTTCTGACTTTTTAGGTTTTATTTGGATCTGTAATATATATATATAAAGCTTTGGTTTTCCTTAATTGTGAATATAATTAAATTAGTTTAGGATTTAAGACTTTGTTTGGTGGAATGTAAGTGGAATTTGACATTTTAGCGACCTAATCTTTCTGAAGAAGACATCTTCAACATTTAATTTGAGGTCTTATTTCATGCTGCCAACCATGAGCTAAGGCTTTCTCTAATTCTTCACAGTTACAAATTATTTAGCAATTTCTTAGGGATTATTGAATGGCAGTGGTGCAAATTCTTAATTTCTTTGTCGATACAGCATCAAAAGTTTGTTTCCTGTCTTCTAATAGCTATAGTCATAAGTATTTAACCTTATTCTATCTGGAAAACGAAGAAAAATTGTAAAAATCATTTAAGGATGGAAAAGGTGAGAAAACAAACCAGGGCGCCCCTAATTATATGTTGACGAACCTGTAAATTACTTGATTATTTTAATTTCTACAATTATAAGGATGCATTGAATAATTAGCTCTTAACTAATAGTTTCTCAAGGTTTTTGTAGTTTTATTTGAGATTTTGATATGCAGCTTCATTTTTTTTCCCCATAAAAGTGGTTGTTATGGGAAAATGTATGGGTAGGAAATCTTTCTTTTTGAAGGTGTGGGTCAAAGGTTTCAAATCTAGTTTTGGATTCATTGAATTCCATGGTTCCAATTTGCGTGACCTGGAAGGAGCGATCCCATATTCCATTTTTATTGTTGTTCCTTGTCTGAGATTCCAACTGGAGATGTGGTGCACTTTATTGCGGAGATCTATTATATAGCCTTAAAGTTGGTTTGTTTGTGATATCAACTTTAGCCCAGACATAAAATTTTTTGAAATGTCATAATTCCTTGTCTTTCTGGTTGTAGTTCATAGCCTTGAGAGGATTGTTGTCTGGTTGGTTTCAAACTTCATCTAATAGGTTGTTGGAATAGCTGTAGAAAATTGTATATACTTTTGTGTGTATAATGACAGATGTATTGATTTTGGGATTAGTCTATGTGCTTTTGTTGTTTTGCATCTAATATTGGTTTAGATTTTTCCTTATCTGCTGACAATTAATTTTTATTTACCTTGCTATCTGTGTCTCATGTTGCAGGATTGTATCTCCATGCTGTGACTGAAACAAAGCTTGTGGTAGATACTTCAAGAGGAGAAACTCTACGTATCAATGTAATGTCATTTGACTTTCTAGATTCCATTTTCCCTATTTTATCCTTTTTGCATTAAGTTTATTCAAGTTTCTATTACAACTATGTCGGCCAATAAAATTGAAGTGTGCTGTTGTGCAAGCCCCTGGTTCTTTATACTATTAATTTCTTATTTCATACATATCAAGATTAGTTATATTCATGTCATTTCTGGATCTATTGTATCTTTGCAATGACATTTTCTCCTATTGAAATTATGGTAATTTTGGTCTTTTCTCTAGTATAGTGTGATAAACTTTTGCAATTCATTTTGATGAAAATAATTGATATGTGCCATTTTTTATGCTTGAAAGTGCAGTTTGACGTCACTTTCCCTGCACTTCCATGTTCTATACTCAGTCTTGATGCCATGGACATCAGTGGGGAGCAACACCTTGATGTAGTACGTATTGCTAGGAGTCATTATGTTTTCACTGTTTATGCACTGGATGCTCAAGACCTGTTGTAACTTTGAATGATATTTTAATTTTGCTTTTTCATGCAACTTGCAGAAACATGACATTTTCAAGAAACGATTAGACAATCACGGCAATGTTATTGAAGCAAGACAGGAGGGGATTGGTGCTCCTAAGGTTAGAAGACAATTCTTGAAATTAATTTCTTTAGTCCAAGATTTCCAAAATATTTGTGCATTGCATTGTTTTAAAGATTAAATTTACCTGGTCATGTTCAATTATGAATATGTGGTGGGGATTTAGACTGCCCAAGTCTGGGTTGGTTATCTCTAAAATTACATGAATTGACAAATACTATTCTCGCAATTACTCCAAGAGTAGCAACTCCGGGTGATATTTCTTTCTTTTTGTGCTGCACACACGGCCATTATGTTTAAGATATTCTGTTATCAAGTCAATGTTAGAACCACCTTTTCCTTTATTCTCATTACTGTTCTCTGCATAAACAGATTGAGAAGCCTTTACAGAGACACGGTGGCCGGCTAGAACACAATGAGACATATTGTGGTTCCTGTTTTGGTGCTGAAACAGTAAGCATTTTCTATTTGTTATCTGCAAGCTAGTACTTGGTTTCCATTTACATTATTGTTGTGGATGCCAGCTCAATACTTCTTCTAGAACTGTGCAAAAGATTTGTTATTTATGGATTTGATGCTATTTTCGTGACCACTTAATAGAGATTAATTCGTTTGCTCACCCGGATGTACTATTGAATTGTTTATAATTTGGGCGTGTGATTTTGCAACATTTGTTGTTCTCCTTTTGCTTCTATTTTATTAGCGTTTTACTTTCTTTGCTTATAGCTGCATTATGTATGGCTTTGAGGGGGTCTTGGTGAATGTTGCCTGAATGCCGCCTCATATGATTGATTATAAATATGGATTGAAGATAACCCTTGTGTGATTAGTCCAAGAGAATTCCTTTTTATTCCTTATGAATAATTTTTTTTTTTTTAATTTTGCAGTCAGATGAAGAATGTTGTAATTCCTGTGAGGATGTTCGTGAAGCATATCGGAAGAAAGGTTGGGCATTGTCAAATCCGGATCTGATTGACCAGGTCTGTGAGTATGGGTGCTTGTGTTTTCTAGAGGACAAATGTAACTTGAACTATGATGATGAATTACATGGAATTATTATTGTTGTACTTGCATTTTTGTGAAATGATATAAAGCATAATATTTTTTGGATTTCTGGCAGATGTTGTCCTCTATATTTGATTGTCCATTTTACTAGAATCAATTGATATTTGTTGAATTTGGAAATTGTGAACTTTGGTTAGGAAAATAGACTTGTAACACTTTTTTCCTTTCTTATCATTCAGTGCAAAAGAGAAGGTTTTTTGCAAAGAGTTAAGGAAGAAGAAGGTGAAGGATGTAATATATATGGGTTCTTGGAAGTCAACAAGGTGGCTGGGAATTTTCATTTTGCTCCTGGGAAAAGCTTTCTTCAATCAGGTGTTCATGTACATGACATACTGGCATTTCAGAAGGATAGTTTTAATGTAAGATATGTTCCCTCTTTCGGTTAGTAATTGTAAAATAAACATCAGTTCAATATCATATTCCCTTCTATTCGTCCCAGCATGATCTGTTAGATAAGCCATATGCTTAATTTCTTATATGTGATACAGATTAGTCACCAGATCAATAAATTAGCTTTTGGAGAACACTTTCCTGGTGTTGTCAATCCTCTTGATGGGTAATTTCTTCTTTCATTTCCTGCAATCCTCTTCAGTTTAGCATTTCAGTTTTATAGAGTTTCAATTCTCCTACCTAGGTTTTTCTGGCATTCTGTTTATTGAAATATGTTTTATTGTTGGCTTATTCTATAAAACTTTTTTTTATTTTTAAATTTCAGTGTGCATTGGACACATGAAACACCAAATGGGATGTATCAATATTTTATCAAGGTAAATACTCTGGATGATGGTTTCTGTATTTACTGCACATCTTTTTCTTTTCCTTACGCCTTGGGAACTAAAGGCAGTATAATTTCCCTAGACTCTAATTATTTTCTTTATACAACTCCCTTGCTGTTCTAAAGACAATTTCATTTTCTTATTGAATGTGAATCTGTGTTCTGAAAGACAAAAGCATAGTCATTTACTTTCTTTGGTAAATTTAAGCCTCTGCCTCGAAGGTATGCTATTTGCATATCTAATTTTTCATTTCTTTTGGGAGTGTGTTTTAGTGTGTGAATGTTAAAAATTGAAGGAAAATACTGATACATCGTAAATATGTATTTATTAAGCTTTTAGGAGTATAGAAGTAAAAGAAATATGACCAAAGCAGAATAAAGTCATTGTCTATACAGTGATGCTTCTTGGCTGTGTTTTCACAATCTTTTTACAATCTGTATTTAATGCTCACTAATTTCAGCATTGCCTTAGATGTCATTCTTGAAAGTTATCAAACTTAAGAATATGTCATTTAGAGTTTATGTTCTTCATTTTTGTTTGCTTTTACTATTTCTTGTTTTGTACATGTAAGAAAAAGATTATATTGCCTCACTAGTCCTGTTCCCCTGTCCCGAACACACCATCTGGTCAACTGATTTCTGGTGTATGTTTTAGATTTATGTTGAGTGTTTCAGCAAGAATAATTTGGGTAAAGAAGTGAGGAAATTTTTTCTTGAGTTGGTTTTTTTCAGTTGTTTTAACTGTTTTCTACAATGTGCTTGGAGAGTGACTTGTTCTCAAAGTATGAATTCTCTCTTGTCTGAATGTGATGACCATGCTTAATTTTGGATCATTCACCTTTTCAATTGTGCTTATTACATGGTTAAGCATGGAAAATTTTAACATGATAGTGAAACATTCAGAACTACAGCGTCACTGTCATGAGGTTCTGTGCAATGTTTCAGAATTACTAAATTTTGTCCTTGCAACTAAGAACTTACTATGGCTATAGATTTCTATTGAACTTACTAGTATTGACTTTTAACATAAGCTTCCATGGTTATCACATTACTGTTTACCAATCAATTGGCACGAGTCGTGGAAACTTTCAGTTGAGGGTGTTTTACAACTAATATTCTTGTTTTGCAGGTTGTACCTACTGTGTACACTGATGTACATGGGAATACTATCCAGTCAAATCAGGTATGTTTAGAATCATTCTGAGTGATTAGTTTTTCAATTTTGTTTTGTGCTTACTCAAATTTATTTCATTTTTTCATGCAATCTTTCTTGGCAGTTCTCTGTAACTGAACATTTCAGGAGTGCAGAAATAGGTCGTCTTCAGACCCTTCCAGGAATCTTCTTTTTCTATGACCTTTCTCCAATCAAGGTGAGGTTTCACTTATGACTTGACTAAAACAAGTTTTAGTCTTGATTTTTGGTTGTTGATGTCTTGGCGATGCTGAGTAACTTGAAACTTTGATTTTTTTTTTTTTTTTCCCTCTCCTGGGCCCTTTTTATTTTGCCTGATTTGCTTGTTGCAGGTGACTTTTACAGAAGAACATGTGTCATTCTTGCACTTCCTCACTAATGTTTGTGCTATTGTTGGGGGTGAGTACCAATCATTTCACTCCCACTTCCAGAACCTAATTTTTTCTTCATGAAAAGTAAAGAAGAGTAGAGAAAGGATAGAAACAATGATATAAATATATTCTATTTTCCTCTTGTTGATTATGGATCTTATAAGAAGTTGCATCTTTTTCCCTTATATTGTTTCAATTGCTTATCATAAGTTTTAAATTAATGAGATTCTGTCACTATCTTTGTGAACAGACCATCATTACCATTTGAACTAGATTTTTACCTGAAAAGAATTTTTTTTTTTTTTTTTTTTTGTTTGTGTACCAAAATTTCTTTTACCTGTGGTGTTTTGCCTTCCTTTCTTTTGTGGATATTGTCGCTACTCCATAATTCTAAATATCTTTATGTTCCAGTTACTTTTTCTCTCTTGAAAAAGACTTCACCACTTTATGAATTCTTTTTTTTACTGTAATGCCTTTATTTTACTGATAAGTTATTGTAGTTTATTTGATAATTGTCTTCAATATACTGTATTCAGGTGTTTTCACTGTTTCGGGAATCATAGACTCATTTATATATCATGGTCAAAAGGCAATCAAGAAGAAGATGGAAATTGGTAAATTCAGTTGATCATTGAGTTGGGCATATTGCAGTGCTGTGTTTGGTTTGTCCACCATTGCTTGCGTTGTGGGAGAAATTCCAAATGAAGAAAAAGGAAACCCTGGAATGGACTCTCCCTGACGGGTTGATGGACTTTTTTCAGTTACAAGTAAAGTTGGCTGAATTAGACTAATTTCTTATGTGAAAAATTGCCTCTGCCACTGAGCTATTCATGTATCTGTCAAATACTGGGGGTTTCTCATTTTTTGCTGGAAAACTTGCTTAAAACTTGTTAGCGGGTATAGTAATATAACAAAAAGTCTTGTAAGGTTATTATGGAGTCCACCATATACATTTTTTAATCTGTCCCAACATCTCAATTCAAATGCCAAAAAGTTTGATATGCTTTGCTACATTGAATCCTTCTTCTTTTTCTCTTTGTTTTTTAATTATAAATGAAATCAAGCATTAAACATTAACAAGATGCCTCAACAAACCTATTGAGGTTTTGGAACTCTTCTTGGAAAAAATAAGGTAGACAATCAAAAGATTGATTGGTGACTCTGCCATGCTCAATTATTACCCACATTCAGCACATGCGTCTCTGTTAAGTTATTTAGTCGTCTTTGTCAAAAGGAGGTGGCAGGCGGCATCGGATCCATGATTAAACGCAAGATTGGTTTATCAGCGGAAAATATCAAAGGCATTTATGAATTGATTGACCCCTCTTGGATCTTATGTCAGCAGGTTTGAATTTTCATGGAATTTCATCCAAAATAGTATAGCCGCACATGCTGTATTATTATTAATTAGCATCATGGAAAGGCATTTACTCTAGTAATAGTATGTGAGAATTTGGCATCTTATAATAACAATTATGTTGATAAATAATCTAGAAGATGAACAATAATTATAGTTCGGGAAGGTTGTAGTGAAAGGGAATTCCAAATCCCAATGAATGTACCCACCCAAAGTCAAATAATTTAAGTTGTTTATTTCTCCATAATCAATGCTTCAAAGGCAAGCAATTAAGACCTGCGTTTATTCTGACTTTTCGTCCAACCAATTGTGCCGCAATTAGCCACATTAATCTTCAACCCAACCCATTTCATGATTTTTTTTTTTTGTTTTTTTTTTTTGATATTTTTCCTTCATGAAGTTCGATTCTACAACTTTCAATTTGTTAAATAAGAAATTCAGACCCAATCAAAACGTAAAACTATTAAGTACAACTTATCATTTGAAAATCCGAAACACCATACAGTTTCTAATACTACGTGAACAACATATAAATTCATGGTTGTTTTTCTGAGGAGGTTCAATTGAAATTCCTCTTCCTTTTATTTTCTTTTAAAAAAATTCTCAAGCACCCGTTTTGACTCTGTTGAGTAATGATTTTTCAGTTAAAAAACTATTGATGCAGCACCTAAGTTTTACTGCAAGTTTCAGAAGATTATGCGATCTATGTTAGATTTTACAGATTCGGTAATCTGAATGAGACAAACATGTCAAACTGTCGTAACAACGAAAAGACACATTATTTTCACGAATAAATTCCACACTGCTGCAAAAAGAAAAAAAAGGAAGAAAAATCTACAACAAAACAACCTTATGAATAATTTATTTCTAAAGAGGTATCCAGAACCAATTGAATAGAGGTCATTTCATAATTAATCTTTGCACTGCAAGCCTCAAAGCATATTTGTTAATAGTCCAGATTCTTTATTTATCATCAAAGCCTTACACACCACAAAGCGCTGATCGCAGAAACTGATACATAAGGTTTTAAACAATAATATTCTCCTTTTCTAGAATTGAATTTTAATTTATTAATGCAGTTCATTCACACCTCTTTTTCCTTCTTGATAGACCTTTTAGAATAATGAGAAACACAATATATAGTAAGCTTAACTATGTCTTTATGCATTATATTATATAAATTGTCGAACTTTCTTGCAGTAATCCAGGGCCTCTTTTTTCCCTTTCTGGTTTGAATAGAATGACAATAACTAGAATAAAGACATATAAAGGTGGTGCCCAACACTTTATGTTATCTGAGGATGAGGATGGAGATGTGATGTGATCTTTATATTTATGCAAATGTTTATAGATAAAGGGGAATGAAATGCTTGTTTAGTGCTTACTTCTTATTCGCTGTGTGGTGTTTCAATTTAATAGGTCTAATGAAATTTCTGGATGTGTTCATATCTTTTTGTTCTAAAAGCTGCTTTGATGACTCATCTAAACTTCGCTTAGAAGATAGAAATCTACACTTCTTCCACTACCAACATTACTAAGAATGTGTATTAGTGACACTAGCTTGTTCAATATTGGGATAGATTCATTCATACTTGTTGGAGTTCCACACGTTAGGCACGTTAAGCCTGGTTTATAGAGGGTAACTCCCATTCAACAAGGCTTATTTGATGAAAGTTAGACCACTCAAATTCTATCATGGTATCAGAGCCCAGTTCAGTTAAGCTGAGTGTTGACCAGCGTGAGGAGTTAAAGTCGTAGAGGGAGTTTGAATCTCACACGACTAGGCACGTCAAGCCTATTGATTTATTATTCATTATTATATACTTGATTCCCTGATCAAGAATGAAATGTTTAAGCGATTAAGATATATAAGAGGAGAACATAAAAATGGCTCTTTGAAGAATGCAAAAAGGAATCTGTTTCTGGGATGAACATATATATTCAAAGAGAGGTGTATGTCGAGGCACGGTTCAACTGACATCAAGAATTTGGATCTCTCAAATAGTATTGACGGTGTGATGCATTTTATATGACAGTCGTTATCTAAGAGACTATGGGACAAAATTATGATTTACTTTAAACTAGTTAAAATAATTTTGCTAATTAAGGAGCCAAAGTCTGTCCTGTTGTTTAACCCAAACAGATTAATTTTGAACTTTTTTTTTTATTCTTTCCACACTTTTGTCTACCAGTGCTGAAATACAATCAATCTCTGTTAACAGTATGAGTTCAATGGTCCTAGAACGAATGAAAAATGTTATAATAGTCTCGCCCCGCTGGAAACGATAACATAAATCTGCAACTTTCCATGTGCTTGATGCACACGTTACTGAACATACAATACTATCAATCCAAGAGAATTAATATTATTTATCAGCCTCCGGTGTTAACCCCAGGATTGGAAGGAATTTGCTCTCTTATCAATTTCTTGGGTTTGAATTTAGATTCTCTCTCATATTTTGGTTACTTTGAAATATTAAGTTTAAATATTCAATAGACTTAAGACTAATTTGGGATATAAACAGTTGATCGTCATTAAAAAAAAAAAAAATGATACGATAATTACTATTTTTTTAACCTCTTCTTAGCAATGGTAATCTCCTTGAGTTTATATATGTAGAAAACGAGTTTATTATTGACTTAGTGCTGACTTTAGTGTACATATATAATTTTGTCCACTGGGAAAGTGTAGTTGTGAGATTTGATGAACCTAAATTTGATTGCGCGTGCCGCAAGTCTGCGCAGTAAGATGGGATGCGAACAAGAGTGTTTTGGATAAATTTCCTTGAGAGTGAGAAAAGCCATACTGTGGAACAAGATTTTGGAAACTTGTCTTGATTGGTAAATTCATTGAACCTGTTCTGAAAGAAAACAAAGTTTGTAATTTTTAATCAATATCTACGACATGCCGTCTCCAAGAAATTTGTTGATAAGAATCGGATTGGAATGCTCGCCTGACAATTTTTAAAAGAAAAAAAAATACAAATAGTCTAGAGCCTTTCCACCATTAAAGAGATGATAAAATAGTGCCCACACGATTTATTATTTTTACAGATGATTGAAGAACGGATGCTTTTGCAGGTTTCTTAAAAAACTTTAATGCAGAAACACAAGGCAGCACCGCACGAGCCCATATTCGAGGTTTCCCAGAACCACATATGTTAGAATAAAAATGACAAATCAATTTGTGATCAGCAAAGCTCGATTATTTTCAATCATACAAATCGTACCAAGAAGCGCAGATACACAACCCATAAAAATAATTACCACTGAAACTTGAACACCATAAAAGACTTATACAAGACGCTAATTTATTATATGGTATCATAAACAAAGAAACACAAACTCTCCCTGGTTCAGCATGACTAAAACCAGCTGACCACTTGGGAGATGTTACATCATATTAACATAATATCATAATCATAACTAGAACACACAGAGTAGACTTGCCTGCAACTGCCAAAAACTTCTTGCAGCAGCACTAAACACCCTAGAATCCATTACAACATTAACAATAACATTACAAACTAGATCTAAGATAAAATTGAAGCCCAATCAATCTCATAGACGGGTACTTCTGCAACATAAAATTCTCCGAAACGACATCCCAGCACGGTTCTGTATTATCCTGAAACGTCAAATCCGACAAAGGAGAGTGAACCTGCTGACCCATCACTCGAACACTCTCAACCTTAACACAAGCTTCCACCTCACCACCACCCAGGCTCAAATTCTCGAAGTGTTGCAACTTCTCTGATTCCTTCACCACAGATGCGGTTGTCCCAAACGGTGACGTCTTCTCAGCAGAGGTACTTTGCTTCTCTCTTTTCCCCTGTTTCTGCGACTCAGCTAAACTTCACAGATAGCTGTCAATTTCGCATCAACCGAGGAATGGAGAGGCTTGTACGCCGAATTCGCCACCGATGTGGGACCCGTTATGTCGGAGGTTAGGAAAGTTGAGCCTTGCGAAGTCGCCACGTAGCTTTAGGCGGCTTTGTCGTAAGCCAAGGCGGCTTCTTCAGCAGTGTCAAAAGTTCCAAGCCAGAGCCGGGTCCTGTTCTTGGGGAGTCGGATCTCGGCTACCCATTTGCCCCAATGTCGCTGCCTCACTCCTCTGTAGAGTTTTGCGGGCTTTGGTGGACAACCCACTTGCTTCATTGGGACGGGCTTTGGAGAAAGAAGTTAAGGTGATGACTTTGTTGCGGTTGTTGTGGTTGTTGCCAGAAAATCTGGTTTGGAATCTGGTTTTGGAGGTTCATCTGATTTGGATCTGTTGGATTTGGAACTGGGTGAGGTGTTGAGCCCATTGAACCTTGCTGCTGCTGAAGACCTAGTAAAGGGTCTTGGATCGAGAACCCGTTTGAAAAGAGATGGGCTGACGATGGACAAGCATCAGGGTACAAATTGGCTCTGGAATGATGCGGTTGTTGAAAGGAGAAAAAGAGAGGAAATTGTTGTAAGAAGTAGAGGGATAGAAGAATAGAGGGAAAGGAGAGGGAGAGGGAGAAGGGTTAGGAAGGAGAAGGTGTTGTTGATGAAGAAGAAGAAGCACTTCTCATAAAGGTTCCAGTGCTTCCATTAATTCACCCCCAAAGGAGTCTGTATGAAGAGGTCG